TATTTTTATTCCGTCCAGAAAATAATGATATCCGGTTGAAACAGAAAAATTATTTTTTTCTAAATATTTAATTTTAGTGGAAAAATAATATTAAAGAATTGAATTAAAAAACATAATTACTGAAAGTTTGGAGAATATTATAAAAATTGATTTTTGTTAATTTAAATTTAAAACAAATGATTTAAAATATACACATGTGTATTGTGGCTGGAATCGTGCAAATCTTATTGATTTTTTGAAAAATAAAGAAAGTATATTTATTAGTTTTAAGAAAAATGTAATTGTCCTTTACGTGAAGCATTCAATCTTTGCTAAAGTGAAACGCAAAATAGTCTTGAAGAAACAGTCTTCCAAGAAAGCTTGGTTTTATTCAATATGTGTCAGTTGCTGTATTATAAAAAATAAAATATAATAATTTATCCTTACGCCTATATGGTCTTTTTGAAATTATATAAAATGTGTAACGTCGCATAAATCTTGCACGATAGCGGTCATCTATCTATAAAGATTTGGGAATTAATGCATGATGGTCACATCTACTTAGAAACGAATTAATTGAATTGGATTTATATCAAATTACGAAAACCAATGCAAGAATCCAAACAACAGACAGCTTTATCAAGCTACCACAATTTTTTTTTAATATTTTCATCTCAATTTCCGTTAAAAAAAATTGCAAAAAGAAGCATAAACACATCATGATTGATCTTCGTATCATAACTTTATGAACAGATAATGTAATGTAATGTCTTTATAATTTTTATAATATCCAGGCACACAGTTAAATCCATTTGATGAACAATGACATTCATTTTTTTATTTGAGGTAGATATTTTGATAACAGCCAAAATATTACCTACAATATGACACCTGATAACTGAGATAAAATGATATAAAAATATTATCACATTTAAACGCAGTTAGTCAGTTTTTGGGAGTCAGTTGGATGGCAGCGCTTTCTTATCAACTATATCCATTTATTTTCCATCACATTCTTTGCAACTCAAACACAAAATTAGTTGGAAAAAATAAAAAACACAGAATAAGAAATTTAAAAAATGGATTTGGTAAGTACCCATTTCCTTTTTTGTGTTTTAACAAATAAGTGAATTACGAAATATATTTATTTTTTGTATGTGTTGAAATAATTGGAAAACTGAAAACGATCTTCGAAAATTAAAATATGACAAAGAAAAAAAAAGTTTTTCTGGATAAAAAAGAATTGCAATTTGAAAGCATCGGAAAGTATTTGAATGAGTTGAAATTTTGATTATTCAATGGTTGTACTAGTATTTTTCCTTCAAATAAGATTGTTTGTACAACTTATCTTCAACATTATCATTTCGACTTATTTTCATTCATTTTATCTTTTCTAGAAATGTCCCATAATCTTGGTGTTGTTATCGTTCATATCCATTGTGAGTGGATATAAAATTTTATTTTTGGTGCCATTTTCGGGCCACTCACACTGGTTGCAACTACAAAATTTTGTAAAAGAGCTATTGAAACGAGGCCATGAAGTAACTGCAATTGTTAATTATCCAATCAATAACTTTAAATCACCGAATTACACTGAGATTCTGATTGATCCGCCTTTCAATATGTCTACAATTCGTAAGATTATCATTATTTAAGCTGTTGAATATTTGAAAAATGCAAATACTTTCTATGTCATAGTTTCACAAGAGGAAGCTCAACAACGCTCTGACGAAAGCTATTTTGAAAAGATTCGATCCTTTGATAAATTTTGTACAGAATCTGGTGAATATGGACTGAATCATTCAAATGTTCAAAAAATCATACACAGTGAAGATTTAAAATTTGATTTGGTCATTAATTCGGACTTCTATCATGAGAGTTGGTTTATGTTCGCCTACAAATTCAATGCACCATTCATTTCGATTTGTCCTTATGAATATTCGGATTCCTTTGATCGTGCTATGGGTCTATTGACACCTATATCGCATGTTCCGAATAGGTTTCTTCCGTATGGTGATGATATGTCGTATTTAGAACGCGTTCATAATGTCATTGTATCGGCATATGAGTGGGCGTTTCGAAATTGGGTTTTATTACCAAAACAAAATGCAATCGCACAACGTTACTTTGGCCATCTCGCAAGTAGGTTTTGATTCATTGTTCTTATCTTAATGTAAAATTTGCATTTCAAATACATAACATTTATATTGTTTGTTTAGAACCTGGACTGCCATTACCAAACGTCGGAGACTTTTATCAAAATATCTCTATGATTTTTGTCAATTCGCATCCAAGTATTTCAAAGCCACGACCGCTTATGCCGGGCATTATACAAGTAAAAACAAAATAAAAAAATAAAAATATAAAACAAATGTTACAAATATAAAACATGTTTTTTCTAGTATGGCGGAGCACATATCAAACCACCGAAACCATTGCCAGCGGATTTACAACAATTCTTAGACGATTCAAAGTATGGAGTAGTTTTCTTCTCTCTTGGTTCACATTTACAAAGGTTTGTGTCCATGTTGTGCAAAAAACGTCTTTTCGAACAAAACATTAATCAATTTCCTTTTATAAAGCTCCAAACTGCCAAAGGAAAAAATCGACATATTTGTAAATGCACTGGGAAAATTGAAACAACGTGTCATTTGGAAATTCGAAAATGAATCATATAAAGTACCGCCAAATATTTTAATTCGAAAATGGTTACCACAAAGCGATATATTGGCGCATCCAAATGTTGTACTATTTATAGCACACGGAGGTATGGCTAATGAAATCATTTTCAGGATCTATTATTTGTATAATACAATATTTTTAAATAATCAAAAATAATTTTGAAAAAAAATCTGTTTTTTTACAGGGATTTCGGGATTATTTGAAGGTGAATTATTATTAGTATTCGATTGAATTGGATTATAAATTGTGTATATAAATTCAGGAACGGCTCGCGGTGTACCGATGATGTTCATTCCGTTTTTCGCTGATCAACAGAGAAATGCATTGAAATCAGTGGCCAGCGGAAATGCATTGTCACTAGAATTTTCAAAATTGACATCCGAATTATTTGAGGCGACATTGCAAGAGATGATCAACAATAAAGCCTATCTTAATCGTGCCAAAGAGCTGGCAGTACTTTTCAACGATAATTTGATGCATCCGTTGGATGAAGCGATATTTTGGATTGAATACGTGATACGATCAAAAGGGGCAAAACACTTGAAGTCATACGCTGTGAATATGTCTTGGTTCTCTTACTTACTCCTTGACATTTTCATTATTCCGGTAATTGCGATTTTTATTATTTATCTCGCACTAAAATCGATCTCCAAATCGTTTATTTCAAGCGACAACAAAAAACGCAAGAAGATAAAAACAAAAAAGACAAATTGAATAAAAATCAAAGAACAAATTTCATGAAAAATAAACATCACAATTTCATAATTTTTATGTAGGAATTTTATTTTATTATATGGATAATATTAAATGGATTAATGTTTCACATAAAGTAATGTACGTATATAAATATGCGAGATATTTGTATTCTATTTCATTTTTTTTAGCTAAAATGAATTTAAATCGAAGATGATTTTCAAATAAATTTAAAATGCATGAAAAAGAGTAAAATTTTTAATTAAACTCATACACTTGCTGGATTTCTTTAATGTGTCTAAGGAGTTCTATTGATTCCATAATTTTAATTACGTCTATTCGCAATTTCAAGTAATTTTTTTCAAGAATAACATCCAATTGTAGTATGATTAAATATAAAAACATAGCCAATACAATATTTATGTGTCTCTTTTTTTCATTTCGGTCATTTTAGCGGTGCGAAACGATTTAAAACGTGCATAGCTGCAATCTACTGCTAATTAAAACTTAGTATAGTATTCTTTCTACTGTATTTACATCTATAGAGAGAGATGATATTTGTTATAAACTCTTTCTTTCTCTTTCTCTTTCTCTCTATCTCTCTATCTCTCTCGGTCATCCCAATCAATTAAATCAAATGTTAAATATCAATATTTTAACTGAAAACCCTAAGAAGTAGTTTTGCTTTTATTATATAGTTAATTATTATTTAATATTCACTGTTGTTGTTGTTGTTCGGTTTGTGGGGCGCCATTTTTCTTGATCGCATCAATTTGTGACATAATTTTCAAAGCCGGTCCCAATTTAATTTTCATCGTATTCACCAAATGATTTTCATTGAGCAATACAAGTGCTTGCCCGTCAATTTCATGGTTGGCAAAATCTTCAGCATAATCACTGTAACCAGCCAAACTGCGAATATAATCGCATACCTCTTCCACGGACCATTTAACCAAAAATGAAATCGGTTCATCTTGATCATCGGCATCGTTTGAAATTTCCATAGGCGTTGATTCGCATGGTTTTTTACCGTTGCCATTTGCATCGGTCGATCCCATTGAGCTGGTGTCGCTTGTGGTGCCATTCGTTGAAGCCGACGATGAAGTTGGCGACGGCAATGATTTTGGCGATACCGAACCATTTGTTGTGCCATTTTCATTACGAATGCGCAATTGTTTGTGGTCACCATTTTGTTGTGATGTTGGTATTGCACCAGCCTTGGCCGCCTTTGAACAGGTTTTCGAACAGTACTGTTTATGCTTAAGTTTTCCTTTGCTATCTTTTTTGCCACATTGTACACAAGTCGAACGATCTGGCGTGCCTGCAGCCGGTTTGTCCGGTGACGATGTGTTGCGACGTTTTGATGGCGGTTCATCGGAATCGTCTGAGTATCGTTGTCGTGTAACTGGGAATGGTTCGGTTCCCTCTTGAATAACATGACCGGCAATGACATGAGTTAAAACATTTGGTTTGATCATTGCTTTTGGCAACAAACCTTTATCATTTTTGAGGAGATTCAATGTAGCTGGAATTGTTGGTGGCTGTGTATTGTTCGTTGAATTTCCATTCATTGTTGCTGATTTATCTTCATTGGCTGACGTTTGAACATTTTGTGTTGATGATGTTGTTGTTGTTGACAATGAATTGGCCGATTGTTTTTCACTTGGTTTTGGCGACTCTGCTGGTTTTGGACTTTCAACTTTTTTCGGACTGGTTTTACTCATTGAAATCGTTAGCTTTGGAGTTGCTGAACGTGATTTATTTGATTCTTCGGCTTTTGAATTTTCCACCCTTTTGGGGCTTGGCTTACTCGCCGGAATTGTTATTGTGGTTTTGATTGAATCTGCGCAAAACAAAAATGTTCACATTAAAATCACAATTTATTGAAAATTCTATTAAAAATGAAAAAAGAAATTGTAAATATGTACCGGTTGTTTTAACTTTCGGTGTAGTTATTGATGCTGATGAGGATGTGATTGTGATTGTTCCGGATCCAGTGGTTATAGTTGAATTGGCCATTGAATAGGTCGCATTCGATTCTGCAACACTTGTTTTCTGTGTTTCGTCAGTTTTTGATGTGATTTTTTCATCTTTTGAAATATTTGCAGTGCTATTGGAAAGAATACCGGACGTTGCAGCACTGTATGATAGCGATGTCATGGCAGCCAATGGATTTGGTGGTGGCTGAAGTGTTATACTTTGTTGTTGTCCAATTGGACTGCTGAGATTTTGCATTGCATTCAACGGTGATGATGTGTTGCCGCCGATCGATACCATTGTCATAATTGGACGATTATCAAGTGTTCCCTGACTTTGAGCCACACTCTGTTGACCGACCAGAATCTGTTTCGGCTGTTGAATTGTAATTTGTGAAATGCCATTTGCTTGGCTTGTATTCAAACTGTTTTGAGCTTGTTGCAATGCCATTTGCTGTTGCGATTGCATGATTTGATTTTGAATTTGTTGTTGCTCCTGTTGATTCACAAATTGGGCTTGTGCCTGTCCAGCCAATTGAAGTGATTGCAATTGCATTTGCTGTGGTATCACTTGGATTTGATTCGGCTGCTGCAAAAAGAATAGAAAAACATTTAATTTCACATTCAATTCGTTAATTATTTATTCAAAAAAAGAGATCGGCTGCTTATTACCTGCTGCAAAAATGCAGTTTGTTGTTGTTTTGGCATATTCATTGTCGATATCATTTGTGTTCCATTATTGTTCATGACCACCACTTTACTGCCAGCTGATGTTACAATTTGGTGCAACGTTTGATTGCCGGGTAGTAATTTTGTTTGATTTCCAGCATCGGTTTTGAGATTGGTTACAGCCGGTCGAACATTCGGTGGCTTTGTACGTAGTTTTGCATTCTTTTGTCCAACGATCACTTGATTTTGATTGGCCGATGTTTGGGTCGACACGGAACTCGCCTGATTCGGGCGAATTGTTTGATTTGCACCTTGCGGCAGTAGTGTTGGTGTACGCGTTGGTGTTTGCTGTTTCGGCGTTAGATTATCGGTTACCAATCGTTTGTTTGGGGTGGACTGAATATTTGTTTGTTGATTCTGCAACAAAATTAGCGAATTAATTGATTAAATTATTGAAATTAAACGAAAAATTAAATTTAAACTTACAATAGTCTGTTGCACCGCATTTTGTTGCGCTTGTTGTTGTTGCTGCTGCTGTTGCTGTTGTTGCTGTTGTTGTTGTTGTTGTTGTTGTTGTTGCTGCTGCTGCTGCTGTTGTTGTTGTTGACTTTGAGCATTTTGTTGAGTAGTAGTTTGAATTTGTGCTTGTGGTGCTTGTGCTTGAACTTGCTGTTGTTGATTTTGTTGTGACGGAGCCGCTTGAGCTTGAATTGTTTGTGTTTGTGGAATAAGCATGCCTTGTGTTCCATCTGGCCGAATGAAAATTTGATTTTGGAATTGTGGTGGCAAGCCATTTGTTGCGGTAATCCATTGCGGGAATGATGTACTTTGAAGCCACTGAAATGTAAAAAAAATCATTGATTTATGAGTTTGTGTGTGTGTGTGATTAAATTAGTCATTGTTGCTGAATAAAATTTACATACCGGTGCAGCGAATTGCATTTGTTGTCCGCCTGGCTGTTGAATTTGATTTATAATTTGTGCCGTTGTTGGTGATATTTGAACACATTGCTGATTTTGTTGTGTATTTGCCTGTGCTGCTGTGATTTGTGTTTGGCCACCTGAATTAACGGTGTTTGACTTTTGAACGACCTTCTGTTGTTGGTTAAAATTCTTCATTTCAGTTTGTTGATTTTTAGCGGCAATCGTGCCATTGTTTTGTGACGTTGCAGTTGTCATTGGTAAAATGTTTTGTTGTTGCTGCTGTTGTTGTTGCTGTTGTTGTTGCTGTTGCTGCTGCTGCTGTTGTTGTTGTAGCTGTTGTGGATTTGTGAATACTTGGAATAATGTTTGCGATTGATTGCCGGTTGGCAATGTATATGCTGAGCTGAATGCTTGCGAATTGCCTAGCACCGATTTTCCTTGTGCGGTCGCTATCATTTGCGGTGTAATTTGACCGCCTTGTAATGGCTTTCCAGCAGCGATCACTTGAATTTGTGGCTGTTGATTGAAACTTTGCTGAATTAAATTTGGCATCAGCACCTGTTGGCCGTAAATTGTTTGCAAATAGGCTGGATTTTGAATTGGTTGCTGAACAACTTGAACGCTTCGATTCCATTCGGCTGGCAATTGCCCATTTTGCAATTGAAGCGGTGGCATCGTTGTCATCGTTGTCGATGTTTGTTGTTGATGTTCACCTGTCAAATTCATATTATTATTAGATTAAACATTGAAACGGCGAGTAAGTACGCAAATTCTTGTCACCGAGAATTCACCTTGTTGCTTTAAGAGCTTAAATCGATATGTCGAAATGTAATGTCAAAAAAAATCCCACTTACCATTGACATATTTAATGCCCATCGTGCCATTGTTTTGCGTTTGATGTTGTGAACTGGCCGTGTCAATCAATTGCATTTGCTGTACTTGAGCTGCTGCGGCGGCTTGATTTTGCTCTTGTATATGTTTATTCAATTGTTCTTGTATGGAGTTGCCTTGATTTTGTGGAAATTCTTGTTTCACCTGGATGGTCGGTGCGAATGCTTGTTGCAATTGAAATTGATGTAATTGCTGTAATTGTTCCGCTGAAAGTTGCAATGTTGACAGTTGCTGTGTCGAATTTGAAACTTGTCCTTTATCCATTTTCGTATGATGATGATGAATTGTTGTTTCGCTAATAGTTACGCCAGCTTTTTGTGCTAATGTTTCCAAGCACTTTAATGGTCGTTCGTTTAAAATCGAAGCGATCGGTAGTTTGGGAATTAAATTTTGATTGTTCAACGATGGAACGATTTTTCGATTAGCACTTTTTGATGTGGTCGGCGTATTTGGTTTAATTTGAATATCGCCACCACCAACTTTCGGCCGTTCCGATGAATTCGATTTAACTATTGGATTTGGCGTTGTTGTCGAATTACTCGGCGATTGACTCACACTTTCCAATGATTTACGCGGTTTTATGTTCGAATTGTCCTTCAACGGGCCCAAATTCGAAGTATTATTATTGCTGTTTGTGCTGTTGTTATTATTATTAGCACCGGAATTTTTCAGTTTTTCCTCTTCCTCTTGCTTTTGAAGATTATTGTAGTGAGCCGATCTAAAAATTAAAAAGAAACACAAATAATGGTTTAAAAAAAATATGATCATAATTGATTGAGGAAGTTTGTTGTTTAAATTAAAGCCCTAAGATTATTGCTGAAAAAAGGACGGCTGTTTTTATAAAATAATAATCGCCTTGTATTCATTTATTGCTTACAAATTTATTATGACTACTTAGGCTGAGATTTCTTTTTTTTTTTTTTTGAATCATCAATTTTCCCCCACGATTTTGCACTGTCGAATGCAACAAATAGCAGCAAACCGTATTCATTTATGTTAAAAACACTGAAAGATTTTTACGATTTGCAACACCCAATTTCGATTAAATAACATAATAAACGAAGACAACGCAAGCGAGCGAAAGAGAACAAACAATAAATAACAATGTGACGATGGTATCTCATCGTCCCCTGCAACGTATAGTGCATTTTGTTGTAAACGGACGATGAAACACGATGCGAAACACATTTAGTCACATAAACGAACGCAAATCGGAATTGTGTGCCAGGAAATTCGACTATTTTAAATGCAGTTTCGTATCAGAAAACTAACATATATCTGAATCGGGCCTGCAAACATTACTACAAAAAGTCAACACAAATTCCTTACATTCATCCATTGCAAATATGTTGCTGGAACTCTTTTTTTTCGATTTGTGTCGTTGAGTTGCTGATAAAAATTTATTAAATTCGATAAAATTCGTTGAACAAGCGTTTTAAAGATTCTTTTGAAAATGGTCTCTTTATTTTCGGTTGAAAAAAAAAACGCATGTGCATTTTTGCAATGCATTGACACCGAATGAATGAGCAAAACAGAATCGAAAATGAAGAGCCATCGACACAGAGAGCAAAAAAAAAACTTAACAACAACAATTCTGTTTATATGTGTGCGTGCTTGATAAGTGGATTGAATTGAGTCCTGAAACCCTGGTGCGTGTGTTTTTTGTTCGTCTCTTGCATTCTCACTCTCGTTCACACAGACACAAGTTCCGATATTTTACCCTATAACAGAAAATGTGCATGAAATAACAGTGAACGTATAAGAAGAAATTTGCCATAAGCATTGCACTGTGGCTGTGACACTCTCAATGTGTCGCATAGTTGAATATATTGAATTTCACATTATTCACATTTGAACTGGCACAAACACAGCACACAATGGAATTGTACGGGAAAAATTGCAAACAAAAGCAACGATCAACGTACCACTGACAAGAGAGAGAAAAAATACTGTACTATGCAGAAACAAACTAAGAGACACACATCGTGTGCATGTGGACAAGAACATAATGCCGATCGACGAGCAATTTAAAAAAAAAATTAAACATAGAAGTACAGGACATAGAAGATACGAAATACACAATTAGTATGTATCTGATCTTTTCATTTCTATTGAACGTTTCAATATATACTGAACGTGCCAGAGCCAGAGAGAGTATTAAAAATAATAATAATGAAAAACAGCATTAAATTGTTATAGCCAAGAAGATGACAAAAAAAATGTTCGTATAATGACGATTAGTACATGTACATACGGCGAAAATGAACAAAATACGTCGAAACAGCCGGACCCATGTCATAAACAGTGCAAAGAAAAGAGAAACACAAATGCCAAGCGCACATTACCAACCAAAAGCCGAAATCGAATACAGCTCAATTTTTTTCTTTTCGTTCAACAAAAACTGCATTAGGCGAAACACAAAATATTATAAACTCGAGGGGAATTGGTGAGTGAGAGGCGACCAACGTAATGAAAAATGAACGTGCATCATCATCGATAAAAGAAGAGAAGAAAAAAAAATGTATATGCTGGCTTTAGATTACGATGAAATAATGAGCCCTGCAGAAAGAGGGAGAGAAAGAATGTGTGGTAGTGTGCGGTAGAGAGAGGGAGAGAGACAGAGCAAGAACGAATGAAAGAAGCACAAATGCATAGACTCATTGAATACCATGGATAGATTGGTAGAAAATGATGTGAAGAAAGAATTGATGGCAAAGCGATGTAGAGAAGAGAGCACAGCAAAAATGAAAGAATCGATTGATGTATATACGGTGATATAGCATGAACCGGCTGCCGAAAAAGGAAGCAGAGAATCGAAAGAGCGAGGAAAATAAAACAGATTGCATTGAATTTCGAAATGAAACGCACACACAAGAATGATGATGAAAAAAAAAATGAATGTGCGCCGACTGTTATGCTTGTTCGAGGGATTTTTCGAATGCATGAGGGGAATAAATTGTGCGCTATGAACAGAATGAATGTTGCTGAGTCGTTCGTTCGTTCTTTCATTTGGATTTCTTTTTTTTTCTCTGTTGCTGTTTTTGTACTCTCTCCCTCATTCTTTCTGTGCCTGTTCAACATTTTTACGGTAACATATAAACATGGCGACAGAGATAATCACCATATTTGTACAGCATTAGCCGTTGAACGAGTAAGTTGTTCTTGAGCACATTGTGTAATCGTTCCATCCCTCTCGCGCTAAGTTTTCGGTTTGTGCCCAAACATGCGTACACATACCATCCCGAATTTTTGTTGTACGCCTAAAATAACATTAATGAATTGCTGCTCGTTCAATATAACAACAGCCTCACTATTCAAAATGAGTGGAACCCAAACGCATCTCAACGGCAATAATAAATAGGCGAACGCTAAAGGCATATATACAATGCTATTTGAAATTAATAGGACGGCATCGCCATAGCAACGTTTCACATTTAAATGTACACACTTTTTTTCCAGTCGAAAAGAGTCGCTTGCTCACATCAATGTGGCCAATTCACTCGCTATATTGACATCGAGATATTTTGTTGGGATTCGTGATGGTGTTACGAGATACGGTGAGCGTACAACCTTTGTCGAACGCAACTTTTTCAATGGTTCATGGAGAATTGATGTGAAAAAGGAAGAGAAGAGCAAAATGTTCAGCGAATGTATTTCGTTTTTATTATTACTTTCGACACGGAATTTTGGTGTTTTTAGTAGAAGGGTAATTTTTTTTGTCTTTATTTTAGTTTCCATTCGTTTTGTATGCCGTTTATTGCTGCAAACGAAATTTATTTGTATGTTGCTGTTGTGTTTTTTTATTTTATTTAAGAAACCACTTTGCAAACACACAACGCTTGATTGGTATGAAATTCGAAATGCAAAATGACAGAAGTACGGTTTGGAATTCAGTTAAAATCGAGTATGTGTGTACGTACAAATGCTTTCTGTTTACATAAGTGGTATTTGCTGCTTATGAGCCATTCGGTTGGTTTATGTGCACATAAACTTTTCTCTCTTTAGGTACATGATTGTGGTCGGTTTGAATTTCGGATGCCGCACCGAAGTTTTTACTTCGGTTTTGTGAACACATTTCCAATATTTATTCAGGAAACCAGCTAATTTTTTTTTGTTCATTCTTTTATTCTCACTCTCTGACAGATAGATTTCTCTTCTACTCTCGACTGTACTTGTCAGTCAATATTAAAAATCCAGAGAATGAATACCGCAATCTGTTACAAAGTCGAACATTTCAATTCGAAATATAATTGAATCTCATTTTATTATTTTTATTTGGAAAATTTTATTCACTTTGATTCTTTTCAATCTAATTCGCTCGTAAGAGAGTTTTTATTTAACCGGAACCGCAGGAGACAGTTTTTTAGTCCAATTCGAAATACAATTTTTTATATGTAATATAACCTTATATATACATAAAGTGATATTAATATTTTGTATTTACATAGAAATCGTTCCCTATTGCATATTGTTTATTTACCAACAGCGAGAATGAGAGATAGAGGAATAAAACATGCTACCTTTGTGTGTATAAGGGTTCAACTGTGGGATTATATACACTTAGATATGGGTTTGTATATATACATAGGAGTGTGAATACATAGCATGTCACGTTTATGTGCTAGATAAAAAGGAAAGAGCTCAACGACGATAAGTGCTAGATGGATGGATCGAAATATTATTATTTATATTTTTTTTCACTAGACGTGAACAATACGCGTATATACTTTTTTGTTGGAATTTTTTTACATATTGATTTTATATTAAAAATACATAAACAGAGAAACTCTAGTATAAATAAAATATTTGACAGTACATGTCAATTGCAATATGCACACAGACACTGGCCGTGATTATAATCGCAACCCTTTCTTTTTAAACTTTTTCAACGAAAAAATTCTTTCGATTGAATTGTAACGGTAATTTTATCTGTGTTGTTTAATGGGCAAATTTTAAAACCGAACGGTGTTGAATTTTTAATCCAATATAAATGGGACGAGCATTTTTCGTAAAACTGTCGACTTTTAGTAGACGAGAAGAGAGCAACGGAGGGAGGCCGACTAATGTAATTGCTTGTAATCTTCGGCACGTTGAAAGTGCTTAAGCATTGAAATGTGTGGCTTGTATCCATGGCAAATAATGCACTGTGACATTGGCATGGATATAAATCCACAGCTGATTAAAATTCTAAATTTTAATTTTCCAAAAATGTTCGAGCATTTTCAAGTTCCACACAATTTCATTGGGAATATCTCAAAATGATATAAACGGATAGAGAATATCCTGCATAATAGACAAGATCAAAACATGTACAAATCAAAGGCAAAAGAGCATTCTTCGTGCTATTTAATATTTAGTTTAAAAGAAAATTCTTCAACATCCAAAGACAAATGGTGCAAAAAAGTGTATGGAAAATTCCATTGCAAATGAGCAACATTGAAAGGATGCGTTCTCCTTGTAAACTTATATGATTTATCGACTTTTGTTCAATGTTCGTTTGCAAAAATCCGTATGAAAGCAAAAAAGTACATTTTTCATGTTTTGTGAATTTCACGGTATTAATGTTTGGCAACAAAAGAATGTGTGTTCTCTTCATCCTCTATCTGTCGACTGAACCATCATGTCTGGTTTGAAGTTTTGTGACAATGTAATCCAGTGGTTTGGCTCATTTGTTATTGTTTTTTTTTTCTTCTCGATATACTTTGGAGAAAACGAAAAAAATAACATGTGAGTTAAACTAAACGGCTGCTATTGTGGCATGTGAATGAGACACATATTTTCAAATGAAGCACGAATACCATACGAATAAATGGATTCGAACACAATCAAACATGCATATATCGTTGAATGTCTGACGTTTTGAAAATTTGTGTATGCGCATTTACAAACTGAGCATAAACATTCACTGTCGTACAGATTGCAAACATGCACACTTCCACACTCGCATAGCGAACGAATTGGATAAAGAAGATGTAGAAGAAGAAGAAGTCGTCGATGCTTTCTATGTGTCGCGCGAGAACGACAGCAACACACCGTATGTCAATATTAGATAGCTGTGCAGTTCGACTACAACACAACATCGTGTGGTACATTAATAAACAAGTCGTTGTGTACGGCGCTTTTTTGTGTGTTTTCGTTGGAAGAAAACCGGTTATACTATTATGCTGTGTGCTTTTTGCGCTCGTTCGAATGAAAGGAGAACAAAATCGCACACAAAAAACGATGTAAAAGAAATTGACAAGAACCAGAAAGAGGAGGAAAAAAAGCAGAGAGGAAAAGAGGTAAAAACAACACACATTTACGCGCTTTTAAAATAGTTATTATGAATCGGCCGGAATATTTATGTGATGTTTTCACATTTACAGCTTCTTAAACCAACTTATATGGATAAATTCGATCTTGCGTCCATTTAATTGAACGCGATTGGATTTGTTTTGTGCATTCGGTCGGAAACAAAGGCAAAATGAAAAGAAAACAAACAAAGTATTTCCACGAATCGAACTGATAAATTTAAAGAAATGAAATCAATTAAAGAAACCAATGAAATATGCTAAGGAAAAGGAAAATCTTGAATGAAATGAAAAACTGAACTTTTAATTTAAAAATTAAAATAAAAGGAAAATAACTTAAAAAATACCTTTTTGTATAAAAACGACCATTTCTGCGTTGTTCCATATTAATATGAAATTGTGTGGGTTTCGGTAAATAATAAATTGCAAAACTCTGTATTGGTTACATTCAAATGATCAATTTTGGTGATTCGATCAAATTGTTTACAAACCATCGTTCTATTCATATAAACTTTACACAATTGTTATCTTTTCCAATTATTTAAAAATGAAATTGTTTGTATACATTTTTCTTTTTAAATTCGACGTGTAAAATAAAAAACAGCTGAATGAAAATGTTTCGATGTAAACAAAGAACAATATCAACGATTTAATTCAGTATATCGGTGATAACAAAAACAAAACCACAACGAAACAACAACAAAAAAAACGGCTGTTTATTGTGACTCACTTTTTTCTCAGAAATACTTTTCGTATCTCATAAATGTTTTTTTTACGACGAGTTTAATTCACTGGTGTGGCTTTGAAAACTTTCAGTATGAAAAATCGTCAAAATTGTAAAAATCCTTGAAAGTCACTGAATTTTTGCTAAATATTTTTTTTATAACCTTTTCGTTGTCTAAAGACACATAATCCGTTCACTGGGTTTATATTTTTTTTTGTGGCACAAAGAATGTCTGCATGTAAAAAATTCACAAACGATTCAGTTACACTCTCCGAAATTTGACACAAAAACAAGTATGAGCAAAAAAGGCAAATTTATCATACAAACGGAAGATGAAAAGAGCGTACATCAATACGCTTATACGTCTTGTTACGAACGAGTTCTAAACACAACTGAATCGCATACATACTTTGAGATTCGCAAACAACGGCAACAGCGGTAACAGCAGCAGCAGCAGTAGTACTTCTTCATATGCTCTCTCTCTGTGTTGATATATATATATATACACATACAAATATGTAAATAGCTATAGTTTTCATGTATGTGTGTGAAGGCATAAAAACGGCTTTTGAAGCACAAACATGCATAAACGGTCCCAAGAGACGAGAGAATATATTGTAAAAATGCAGTATTTTTTTTTATTACCCGCTTCAACCGAAAGAGATATACAACACGCTGTTACCATATAGAGCGGTACATGAGCGACAAGAACATGTTTCGTTTGTTAAATACGGCTCAGAAAATACCAAAAACAACAACAACATGAAACCTTTTTTTTGTGATGCCGTAGAGTGTGTGTGCAACTTAATAGGTTTATGTGAAGGAGCACCTTCTTTTATTCGGTCTGTGTGTGCGCATGTACAACGATTGCCGCCTCAAACTCTTATCCATTAAAAGCAAATACAAATACATAGCCATCAAAATAATCCTGATACAAACACGGTATAAGGGCACAATGAACTTCGATCCCAAACACATACATACGTGTGTCGGTTCTATACGGTTGACAACATGTTTTTCTCTCATTTAAAATTCGTAGCCTGGATGTCGTATTTATGCTTCTTCTTTTTCTTTATATCCAATATACACATTTTATAATTCCCCTGGCGTATGTATGAGTGCGAGTGTACGATGTCGTGAATGTTTTTTTTTTCTCTACTCTCATCATAGCCGTCAGCCTGGTGGTAATGGTGGGATCGAAGCAAATGAAAAAGCATCGAATAACAAGCAACACAACGATACCAAATCGAAAAAAATATATATTATACCTTATATTGCAGAGTGAAAACATTAATTTTGTGCTGAAAGAACGAAGCGATGTTACCATTGGAGCGAACAAACTAAGCACATATACGATGCTGTTGCAATGTGTATGTGCATGTCATTTAAATGGTCATCATTGTATGGGTGAAATGTATTCGATTTGATGTTTTATTCGATATTTAATGAAAAAAAAGGGAGACTATTTTGATATTAGATTGGGCTTAGGCTTTATTATAGAAACTGGAATTAATGCTGTTCCGTTGTCGCTGTCGCTGTTTGCTGCTGCTTCATGTGCACAATTTCAAATGACAAAAACATCTGGCGCAAACTCACACACATTTTTATTACATTTTATTTTGGGTGTGTGTGTTGGTGACCCGACAGCTCCTTATTACATTGGATATTGAATATGTTGAAACGAACCGCACATTCATATAGTTTATCTTTAAGACATATCATTCGATGGATTTTGTGATTTGAAGTTGATGTTGAGTTTCAGGGCTTGTTTATCGTATGCATATGCTTCAAGCAACGTCATTCACAATGAGATTTGTGGAAGAGACGCGAATTCAACGATTTATATGAAGGATATGAACGAAACGACATGAAAATTGAGTTGTTAAATGAAGCGGTACGTGTGGATAGATCACACGTCAGATGGAATAAAAGAGAAAAAAAGGGAATATCAGAAGATGCCGCTTTATAATTTGAACTGCTTCATAAAATGAATGCTAAAGCAAACCGACTGATGATGATTATTCTATTTTCGTCTATTATACACTGTCCGAACGCTTTGTTCACATCTCTTCAATCCCCACCAAAAACATATTTTTTTAAATGTTTGTATGTGTAAGAGACCAGCATAAATTTACCCGCTGTCAACGTATCACCGTAACTAATAAATGCAATCTCTCATTTACATGTCAAGCAATGACAGGCATATGCGGCTCGATTCGACCAACCAATGAGTTTATGTGCGCCAACTGGATTTGTTTTTTCTTCTATTTTGCGTATATCAGCTCTCTCTCCATTCGACTCATGTGACCTCCTTGAATTGCGTGAAAGCATCGCAGAATTCATTTTCAAGTAAGCGCGTTCGCCGAAAGCGCGCGTGCGAGTCACTTGATTTACGATGCTGACCCATTTGCTTTCGAAGTCATAAAATCTTCAACGCAACATAAAATCAAGCGGTTTTTCAAAACCAACAAAGAGTTCACAGACGATTCTGATTTGCCAATTGTTGCACGTTTCGTCAAATTTTATGAAGATTTTTTTTTTCGAAATGCTTCAAATATGAGTGCCATACGATTTCAAAGAAAGAAACATAATTGCTATAATTGATGTAATCTAGAAAATTGGGTATGGCACTGCCAAGCCATTTTCCAATTGAATAAAAAAAAGACTTCAAAGACTCATAACACGAACACAACTTGTATAGAGTGATTTTGTTTCAATAATTAAAATTTCAACAGCTCGTGTAATAATTTATGGTTGTTCGGCTGTTTCGGTAAATGAATTGGATTGGTGCATTTATTAATAATTCATCGGCGAAAGAGGCGAACAAATGAATGTACATGGCAATATAGTCGAACCATGCAAGGTACTACAATTTTACCCGGTTTCAGCAATAAATACATCGGGCATTCATAATAATTACAAATAAAATACAGTCATTTTCATGTAGTCAGAAATAAATGCAGAAGAAAAAGAACGCAAGCGAGAGAAAAAATAAATATTTAAAAAAAAATGCGCGCCGCGTGTAACCGTGTGCCCTCATTGTAATTTAACAAAATGAAATATACCAATCCGAACACAAGAGTTGCGTGACAACCACAACTTATGCAGAGAAAAAAAAACACATATATGACTGCAATTCAATTCCACACACCAACCGCCACAAAAGATCACACAGCGCACGTTCGCACAAAACAAAAGCCAACAATAAAAAAAAAACAAAAGAGGAAAAAAAATACTGACTGCAAAAGCAAATAATAAACAGATACATATATAAAAAGTTGGCAGCAGAAACATCGACATATTTATGCGGTTGAAATAAATGTGAAATACGAATCGACGAACGCAATTTAAATACCAAATCAAAATGTAGCGAATGAGTTGAGAAGGCGAAAACAAAACGAACGCACCAAGTCGAATATGATTTGGTTTGGCAATATTGCCACATTAAATGCTCACATTGATGTCGTATATGTACTCATACATGCAACGTCGTATGCCGTTTACAATAGCGAATAAAAAACAACATAAAAGAAATCGTGGGCAAAGTGCCGTCTCAAAACAGCGAAACTCAACTGAAACACCGACGAAAAGAGAGAGAAAGAGAAATGGAGAAAAATGAACGAAACATTCAATATAATTGAAGAATGAGAAACAAAGAGAAAACAGCGACAGCAATTTATTATTATTGTATTTATTTTTTGATTCTCGCCTGCTTTTTTTTTGTCATGTCTATCCCTCTTTTCTCGTCACTACTCCGCTCCGCTTATCATCTATCTATGTTCACCCACAGCACACAAAACACTCACACTTGCACACACACACATACAAATTTTATGGCAACGTTTCATTTGCTCACACACACATCAATCGTCTCGCGAGCGCGATAACAAGACCCACAGCGATTTGATTTTTCAAGTGAAACGAAAGAAGAAGGAAAAAAAAACAACAACATGCACGATTGCTTTGTGGCGATAAGGAGAGCAAATATATGTGCACATTCGAGTGTGGCTGTGCTTGCGTGCGCAACCATTTGAATTATTTAACCATAATGTGTATAGTGCACACATTGCTTGTGTATAATTTTTTGATTACTGGTTGTTGTTGTCGCTGTCGCTGCCACACAGTTTCTTTTTCGCTTCAAAATTCGTCTGCCTTAATGAGTTTTATCGTTTCTTCTCTTTTTCACTTCTTCGCTTCTATACCATTTTCTCGTCTTATTCGCTTTGGCATTCGAACGCATTTGCAAAGTGCTCGTATCATTTTTATTGCCCGTTCGCTTGAAAGCGTTGATATATATTATGTTGTTTTATGCTCTGTTTTGTACTCTTCTTCGCTTCTCGACTATCGTTTGGATACATCGTGTATATATGAGAAAATGCGCCTGCGTATATCCACAACGTTGCCACAATTTAAACATCATCAACGCTCAACAATTCAAACGACGAACGCAAATTGCCTGCACACCGATTCGTCACTCACTCTCCGAATAATATTCGGTGCTCTTTGTATGAAAGCAAAAAAAACTCCGACACTGGGATGCTTAGCGGTTGAAACAATGAAAGATGTCTTTTTATCGATAATAAATTATGTGACCGAAACGTCAATGCGAAATGTATTATTATACAGTTTAGAATCAGCAGTCGGTCTTGTGCTCGGCATGGATTGTGGCTTTTTTCTTGTAAGGAATATGTATTCAGATGAAGTCAAGTTGAAATAATCTTCATACTTTAATAGACAGCACCGCATTTCGAGGCGCTAATGGATTGTCTTTGAATTTTTTTTTTTATTCACATCGATATAATTGTATATGATAATCAGACAAAATAACACAAACAGGTATTACGAGTTCGATTTTATTTTCAAAAATAA